AGTTAAACGAACGAACATGAACAAGCCTCCGTTCGTGTTCGTTCGGTTCGTTTACAGCCCTATACACATACAATAATTTCAAATAAATTCCAAATCCAGATCAATCTACAAAATTTAAATCCCTAAAAAACAATCATGCAAACCAAATGACCCCTAAATAAAATTGTGTCAAATAATGTTCGATTAAAATAATTGAAAAAAATAATTAAAAAGGACTTAATTTCGTTTTAATAAAAAATTGTCAAAAGAAAAACATAAATTAATTTCCAATCGACGTTTCTTTTCCTTTGACATTACGAAACGCATGGTTTACAGAGAGTCGGATACGTACGCATCTGCTGCATTTAATTTCTATTTATTTAATTTTTTTTTTTATTCTGAAAATTATTCAGTCCTTGTTTGACTTTTATGCCCATTACCCTCCACTAGCATTTTCCTCCTATTAATTACGCACCGAAATAAGTCAAACCATTCTCCACCGTCCGATCTACATCTCATCTCCATTGACTCTACTTTCCCAATTGCACCTTATAATCCCCCCCTCCACCTCCATTTCTCTCCTCAATCTCTCTCCTCCAATTTCAGCTTCCAAATTCCACAACAATGGCGGTCGATTGCGTAGGAGTTCAAACTGTAGAGCATCTCAGTCGTATGTTTCAGTTGACTGGCCATGACTTTAACGTTTCGTCTAATTTCAAACATCCGGTGAAGCGGACCGGACACGCTCGATTTCGCCGTGGACCACCGCCTTCTTCCACCGACTCTCAAGGGACTTCAACTTCTTCACAATCGGAAGAGAAACAGCAAGATGTGTCGAAGGAGTGTTTTTCAAACAAGTCTACATCGTCTAGGTCTACGAGCTCGTCGTCTATGGTATCTTCTTTACTCGGAGGAGGATCGGAAGGAAGTGTTTCGAACGGTAAACAGTTTTCATCATTAGGTATAGTAGCTCCGGCACCGACGTTTTCATCTAGGAAACCGCCTCTACCATCGACTCACCGGAAAAGGTGTAGCGCAGACCGTCCTACGGCTTCCTTACACGGATCTGGAAGGGAGAACCATTCGGTTTCTCGAAGCGGTTGTCATTGTTGCAAGAGAAGGTGTGTATACGCTCAACGTTTATTTTTAGCAAAAAACCGTCACAAATATCTATCGTACGCTTAATAATTCATTACCTAATACGTTTTTCCCCTTCCGCTCTCAGGAAAATCGGATCAAAACGTGAAATACGGAGGGTACCGATTATCGGATCAAAGGTCACAAGCATACCGGCMGACGATTACTCATGGAAGAAGTACGGCGAGAAGAAGATCGACGGATCACCATATCCAAGGTAATTAACTGAAGATTTCTTCAATTATCTACGAATCAAAACCGATTCATAGAGTAATCCTAAAAATTCTACGATCATCATTGATATTGATTTCGATTTGGATCATAAATGTGCAGAGTTTATTACAAGTGCAATACCGGAAAAGGATGTCCGGCGAGAAAGCGTGTGGAGTTAGCGTTAGACGATTCAAAGATGCTTCTGGTAACATACGACGGAGAACACCAACACCGTCACCATCACGCTCCAACGCCGGTACCGACAAGTTTGACCGGTTTGGCTGTTCAGTCAAAGTGAGGGAACACCATGTGGTCCACCGTCACTTTGCACAATTTTCTAAGGTCAACAAAACAGTGTAGTAGGAAAAAGAAAACGACTTTTTTATTCTAACTTTAGTTGAGGGTGTAATTTGTAAGTTAGTCAAAGTTTAAGGGTGTAAATGTAAAATCAAAAGATGCCTCTCACCCACCCAGATCTAAATGCGATTTTGTTCCAACTGACTTTCTTCTCTCCATGTTTATATTATATATATATATATATATATATCTTCCTAAAATTAAAATAATCAATATTATTTAATAATTTAGCAAATTATATTAGTTTTATATTACACAAAAATCATTGGATGCTTTGTATATTGTCTTATGAAATAAATAAACAAGAGGCTTGCAAGGTCAAAGGTCCTTATTATTATATTAAATAATAATTGAATTAATATATTTTTTTGAAATAATTGACATTTAACTGCAAGTGGAGTTGTTATTTCCTGCGACCTCGTCAACGTCTATGATGGCTATGGCCTATAAGCTACGGCATTATTTAATATTTTTTTATATTTATATTTACAAATAATAAAATTTGATTTAATGTTCAAAAATTAGTTTCAAACATGTGTCTTGTCGATAGAGTTTTAATTCTTCTATTTGGATGTATCGATTGTTTTATGTTGTCAAATAAATTATTAGAAGAGCATTGAAATTTGTTGTTAGGGGTAGAAAAATTGGTATTCGATCGTTATTAACCGGTCTCACTTATAAGGTTGTAGTAGTTAATCAGTTATAGAGTAACAAGTCTTGGTCCTTTAAATGATCCCCAAAACGAAAAGTGGTAACCAGTTGAACCGTTCATAATCGGTCTTTAAGAACCAGTTCCCTTAAGGGTGTGTTTGATACACTGAACATAACAGGACATGGATTTTTGTCTCATGTTTGGCATGAATTTTATGTAGAACAGACATGAACAAGATGGAACAGACCTGTTTCACCTTTATCCCATGGAACAGGCTGTTCCACCCCTACCCCATGGAATATGGTGGAACAAGATGGAAAATACTTTTATTTTACCAACATAACTTCAAAATAAAACTTAATTCTCTTCTAAAACATCAAATAGTTCTCTTTTACATTTTATTCATTCTTTAAATTTTATTTATTGTATTTTATGTTTCTTACACTTTCATTTTACTGTCCTTAAATTATTATTTTTATACAGTTTCTATATTTTTATTAATTTATTTAATTTATTATATATTAATAATAAAAAATAATGTAAAAAAGAGATAAAAATAAAAATAGAAAACCACATAAACTTCTTATTTGGTGTCATTTTAATTGTTTTGACAAAAACTTCAAATGATATATTTTGTTATAAAAAATAATTATTCTATTATAATTTAATAAATTACATAAATTGTTTTCTAGATTTTATCACCGTCAAATGTATTGCGTAAGGTTCACACATGCAATTTGTTACTTTCAATGAGTTTTATATGTTTTTCCTTGATCAGAGTAGTAAATATTCGATTTCGATCTTACAGAGGTAATTGTACAAGTGATATGTGAATTTTTTTTTGTTTTCTGGATTCTTGATGCTTATATTATATTTACCTTTTTCATATATCATTAGTTGATTATGAAATCATGTATTTTTGCAAATGTATTTTTGCAAATAGTAATGGTTTGATGCAAGTTATACTTTGCACACCATATTTGTTAACATTTAAATTGATTATATAATTAAAAAAAAAACACTGAACAACTCACTGAGAGTAAATTGATCATTTTAACCAGTTCTGTCCAGTCATGTTATGTCTTACCAAATACTGAACAACTGTCCTGTCCTGTCCTGACCTGACCTGTCCTGTCTGCGTACCAAACGAACCCTTAATCGTTCTAATTTTTTTATTGTTAGTATTTCAATAAAAGATGGTTATGACGAAACACAAGATATTGTCTCACTCGAGGTCGAACTTAACCATATCAACGATGCTATAGCCACAAAAGAAGAAAGTTGATATTCAAAAACACCGTTAATATTTTTCTATGTTTCTAGGACACCACGATTTACTTCATCCATAATGATTGTAGGACCAGTGCAGTAAGAATGCTTCATTGGTTAAAAAAACGGAAAACCCAATTCAACCTTGGTCGGAGAATTGGTCCAACATGGTTTGAAATCATCAAAATGACATGAAAACAACAATAAGTACAAGAAAAAGAGTTCAATCTATTTGGCTACAATAGCATAATGACATAGGGAACCAATTGAAGCCAACACAACACTCCAAAAATGTAACCTTCACAAGACATTTCAAACTGGAAAAAAAAAACAAGAAAACACTTGGTCAAACCTTATGTTGTTGACTTGACCGATAAATATATTTTTTGTGAACACTGACACGATAACATGCATTGTTATGGATCATACTAGATTCTTCGGTCGAGTCATGCCAAATCCTTTCGGATGATTATATGTCATATGTTCAACCTTGTAAGAAAGTCTAGGAGAGCATGTAAATACCTGAAGAGGGCATGAAACCTAATTTGGCACTTTGCAAAAACAGGACGACACTGAACGTGTCATATTCTGTACAAACCAAACAAAACGGATTCAGTAAATCCCACTCAAAGTGGGTCCGGGTGAGATGTACGCAGGTCTAACATGTACCCCAAAAAGTAGATTAGTTGTTTCAATGAATTCCCAACGTGTATAGCAGATTGGGTGAAGAAACTTGATGAAGATTGAACGAAGATCTTCAAAAAGAAGAGATTCTTTCTTTAAAGAGAATTCACATGCTTGTGTTTGGGTTTTAATTTGACACGGGTAGCTTGATAATTTACCAATCTTATTTCATCTCCCTAACTTTTTGGTGGGACAAAAGCGCATTTATACCCACTCACGTCCTGTCCGCTCCCAGTTTAATGTAGCATCAAACGTGGGACAACAAGTTTTTGTACTGTCCTTTGCCACCATGTCCTGCATACCAAACGCATCCTTTCTCGATAGACAAGCAAATGAAAACATACCATCCTTTGCCACCATTTCCCGCATACCGAACGCATCCTTTCTCGATACACAAGCAAATGAAAACATACTGTCCTTTGCCACCATATCCTGCATACCAAACACATCCTTTCTCAATACACAAGCAAATGCAAATGAAAACATAGATATGGAATCTAAAGCCCCATCTAAGCTCCAGTTTTGGTTTTTAAGACCTGATCATTATATAGAAGAGATGATGGAGACTGTTCAGAAGGCATATGCAGTATGCCAATCACTTACCAACTGATGTATCTGGTGTAACCTAAACTTTTGCTATACATGCCAATAACTGACTATATGATGTAACAAAACTACTTCAATTCAAAAATAGAAAACCTCACTGAGAATTCACAATTTAAAGGCTCTACTTAAGTAAGGTGTTGCACGCGTCGTTATACGCACGACAAGGTTTAAATTTATAAACCTAACTTAATCCAGTAAAGGGGTAAGTCGGGTATTGCTCTTATTAGTGAGACGGTGGTCAAGCTAATGATTTGTACTAGATCGAATACACGTGTGTAACAAAGATTAACTAACCAATTTGATCACTTAAAGCTCAAGACTCAAGAAAAACAAAAGCTAATTGGCACAAATAACACTAATTCAAAAAGATTGGGAATGAGTGTTGTAATAAACTATTAAACGAATAAAAACGAAACTTTGTGACTGTTATTAACTAACGAAAACAAGATGGGAACTTTATCCAATTAAAGTAACATCGAGATCATTCATCTTTCTACTAACCATAAAAGAAATGAATTTAAAATAGGGTTTCATCAAACACATGGTGTGCAATCCAAAAATCATAAATTCGCTGTCAAAACCCAAATCTCAATATTCCAAGAAAGCTAAATACGAACACTTATCAAAACTCAATCCAATACTTTCAAAATCAATAAGACTAAGAGCAAACCATATCAAATTTTACTTCAAGAACTAAAAGTAAAATTAACAAATATGTTTACCTAATCAAGAAATAAGAAAAATCAACCAAAATCACCTGTTGAATCCTCTCCTTGTTCTTTGCGGCTGTGCAAAATCATTTCTTGATCATTTCTACCAATTTAAAGCCCCAATTAGAATTCTTTTTATACGCAGAAAAATAGACTTACATAATCTCTATTACRAATCCTTTGTGTACCTTAGTGTTCCTAGCTATCCACTCATTTTTATCAATCTACTTTCGGATAATACATATGRTAATAGATAGTAAAAACCCCATAAAGTTGATCTTTTGAACCCGCTTCAAGTCATGATCACTAATCAATCAATCTTGGGGTAAACAGTCTCTAATACTTATGTTTACTTTTCTTAACGCTTGTACATAGGAAATGAGATTCAATCCTTTACTGCAAATTTATTGGTGTCGCTGCTGTGTTATAACGAAATAGAAGGAGAAGCATTAAAGCCTTACCAACAGCCTCTGGATTCCTTAAATATGTGCAGCCAACAATTAAACCCATCATATCCCTTTGTTTCAATCCAATATATTATTTCCCAATTCAAAAAGACCCCATATTCAAGAAGACCCCATATTCTATTTTCTTTTCTCCATGCACAACCCCAACACACAATGTTATACAATCTTGTTATTTTGCTGCTGTAATACTTGCACCTTGGATAAGTTGATGTTGAGCTGACTTTTACCTTTCTGTCCAGCATATCTTTTCTGACTTCAACATCAATTTTAACTCAGAATCAACCTGAATATGTAGAAACTCAAAACTTAAAAGTTGTAGGCCCGTTGCTTTCCAGATCATCTTGAATCACTTACATCGAAGCTCGGATGAGTGAGATATGCTAGAAATGCCACAGCCTCACAAATCTGTCAAAGTCATATGGTCCTCAATTAGTTTCAAGAGACCATTCCTAGTGATGTTCTATACCTCCATCACTCCCCTATTCAAGCTAAAGAGAAAATGAGAACTCCCCCACCACAAAAAATATATTTTTATGAAGCAATACAGAATAGTGATAAGTGATAACCAAATCATCATCCATATTTCCTTGTGTAGTTGGCAATGGCAAATCAGGGCTATTTTTTGATGCATCTCAAATTTATCTATACTACATATATAACCATTTAAGACAAAGTCTTAAATACAACTCTTTAAGCACAAGTTACAATGGTTTTATGCAAGATTTTTAAAAAACTCTTAAATACAAATTTTTATACACAATGTACAAGCTCTTTCATGCAAGTATTTCACAACCCCAAATTCTAATTGGGTCAAACCAACTTTTTTCTTATCAGACTTTTAAAATTACCCATTTGGGCCGATTTCTTCTTCTTCTTCTTCAGTATCCTATTTCTGCACCAAAACCACCAAAACCAAAAGCTTTCTTCTTCTTCTGTGATTTTTGTTACATACGACCAAAAAATTTTGGGTTAGATAGCAGATAACTTTCTCCTTCACAGACCTCGTTTGACATAACAATGATGGTTTGGATGTATCACCTCGATCAGATGTCCRATTTCATGAATCAAAGGGATTTGATGTATCACAACCTCATTGATACATATAACTCCCTCCGCCCTGTTGATTTAATCTCACAGGTTCTTCAAAACCCTAGAATTTAGAGGTATGCTCTGCAAAACAATATTGATTTCTATTTCAATTTTGATTTCTCAACCAGATGAGATTTTAACTTCCTTTCTCTCCTTTTTGGTTTAACCGATTGATGAAGCCAAGGCTATTTACAACTTAGAAGTAAGAATCCTCTTTTACGTCTCTTTGCTTAGTATGCGATTGATTGATAATCTTTGCATTCTGATAATTTTGCTTTCTGAATCCTTGCTTTCATGTATTATACAAAATAAGAAAGGTTCTCTTAAAAAATCATTTTCAAGCTTTCTGAATCCTTGCTTTCTAGACTTAGGGTCTGTTTTGTCCAGCTGTTTTCTTTCAACAGTTAAGTGCCTATGAATTTGGTAGAAGAATAGTTCAATTGAACATAAAGAATAATGCACAATAAAAATAGTCTTAAGTTGTACTTTAAAATCATATTAACCGGTTGTTTATAGCATCGAAAATTTGTGTATCATATGTATCATGTAGTGTGAGGATGCTGCACCCGAATACTGGTATGTGAAACACCCCCATGACAGTAGTTGATAAGATATGGCATACACATGTTTTTCTTCCTCAAGTCAAACCACATGACCAAATATTAAAACACTTGCTTTGTACATTAAAACACCTTGCATTCTTGTTCTTTTTGCCCACTGTTTTGTTCATTCTTTTTACATGTTTTGTCATGCTTCTGTCAACAGCAGCTGTTTCTTCATGGTTTTGTCATGCTCCTGTCAGCATATCACACATATATACATGCTATTACTATATGTGTATATATATATATAAATATATATCATATTAACCAGTTGTTTATAGCATCGCAAATTTGTATATCATATGTATCCTGTTTTTGCTGTTAAGAATTAAAACGGAAATAGGCTGCTTTATTCATCCTTTTCTATTTTGATCTTCTGTCTCCCATCTCATCATGAAATTTTATATATAATGTCAACACTGATTTGGTTAGTTGTGCATTTACTTTTTTGAACATTGAACATAAAAGGATCAAAGTAGAATGAACAAAACCCATTTAATTCATGTAAATGCTCCTGAAAACTTTTCTGTTTTGTGTGCTTACAGTTTCAACAGCAGCTGGTTGTGTTTGTGTGCTTACAGTTTCAACAGCAATTGTTTCTTCATCAGGTATAAACACATCTTGAGGATAATGACTACTTAAATGGACTGTTAAATAGCTGCAGATTGTTGTGTGTGTGTTGTGTATTGTACTTAATCACCCTTTCTTTTATTTTAACTTGATTTAAACTTGAACCTGCACTGTCCCTGTTCACATAACCATATGTTGCTGCCATTTCATCTTATACATACACACAGAAACAGAAACAGTTGTTTCCATTTCATCTTATACATACACACAGAACATGTTAAACTTGCAATGAACAATAAGAACTAGAACTCAATGCACATCTACAAAACATGTTAAACTTGCAACATAATGTTGATCATGCTGACTGCTATATCTATACATATATAGACAGACACACGCATCATGTAAAGTTATGTGTGTACATTTGCATGTACATACATACGTAAGCTGGTCTTATGAAAACATGTGCTAAACATATCAAACCCATTAGGTGTTCCTGATGTGAAAGACAGCTACAATCAAAACAATTTTCAAAAACCACACCAACACATTGTTCTATCTATGATGACCACACCAACACATTGTTCTATCTATCAATAGTCAATAAACACTTGTATAAAACTAAAATTATGGCTACCAAATTTCTACCTGGCTGCTGTTCCACTTGAAATGTCAACATCAGCAGTTAAATGTCAACAACAGGTGTTAAATGTCAACAGCAGAGTGTTGTGTGTGTGTGTATTGTACTTCAAACAGATAAATAGCTGCTAGACTTGCTATTAATCTGTTTCTGCTGTTGATCTGTTGATCTGTCTCTGTTGTGTGTGTGTTGCTGTGTTGTGTTAAATGTCAACAGCAGAAATGGTATAAAATATACTCATCTTGATGTGTGTGTGCATATGTATTTGTACATATATTTATAGAGTGTATAAACTTGTTCATGGAAAGATGACATTTTAGAGATCTTTCTCAAACAGAAATGGTATATATATATATATATATATACTCATCTTGATGTGTGTGTGTATATGTATTTGTACATATATTTATAGAGTGTATAAACTTGCATATATGCATGAGGAAGCCTTTTTTCATAATACATCATCAATGTGTTGTTTGCATAGTATACATCATTAATTTGTTGTGTGTGCATATGTATTTGTTGTTTGCATAGTATCTACTCATCTTGATCCATAACAGAAATATACTCTTCTTTTGTCTCTGAAGCTTTCTAAGTTCATAACATGAACAACAACCTCCATGTAAACATTGTTAAAGTGAATTTTCATATAGGGTACTGACTATTAAGTATCATTGTCCTTTTAAATTATGGTCAATCTCCCATGTCCTGTGTACAAAAAATAAGCGGTGCATTGTCACTATGAGAAGTTTGGATTGGTATGATACAACTATGAAACCACTTTATTTGATAGGCTTTTGCTTTTGGTAACACAACATCCATCAATTGTGTTGTTGCTTGAATTCCAGTTTTTTTTTTATCTCATCCTGTTGTCAAACCTGCACTGATGAATTTCCTAAGCACACTTAGATTTTTATATATACTGTGGAGCTCATCTTATGTTATTATCTAAATCTATTCCAGGCAGAGTTTCAGAGTAATGGTCTAAGAAGGCAGCCTGTGGCAATGGCTAAAGATCGAGATTTACTCAAGGACAATGGTGGAGAATCTGATATGTTAAGAAGAGAAGATTCAAAGGTTGCCTGCAGGAGGGGAAGGGTGGGATAAGAAAATGAAAAGAAAACATTCAGTAGGCACTGTTTTCATAAGACCTATGGATAGCAATGGATAGCAAAAAAAGATTGTTCAAAACAAGGTTGTCAGTGAACACGGGTTGCAGTCAAATGGCACCCACCCTTACAGGTAAAGATCTATTGTAGGCATAAATATGGATTTAGGTTATACAACAGGTTTATTTACCCTGCTCAAATAACAATAAATTGTGTTGCACTTTGCATAATAAATAATTGGGTTGGATTTGATTAGAGTCAACTCTTGAGCCTATTGGATTTCTTTGTTCGTGGCTTGAAACATTGAATATTTGGCATTCCATTTATTTTAACGACTTTGGCTACTGCCTATTTTGTTAGTAAATGAAATTGTGATGACCTGATGGGTTTGAAGCCATTAATCAAATGACAGAAAAAAGACCTGCGTAGATTTCTTCTTTACGGAATTGTCTTAATGAAAATTGACATCAGTACACTACTTTTTGAAATTTGACTTGCTCATTTTGTTGTTGCTTCTAAAGCCTGGTACTGTGAGAATTTTTAGCCAAATGATATAGAAATTCTCTTTCTTGGATTGGACTTCATTAATTATTGCACAATTTTGAGCTTTGCTATTTGCATCTATAAGATCGTATGCTTGTCTACTCTTAGGTTAGTTACTATTGTCAAGAGTAAATCTTTCTATAGTGTATGTATCATTCATATCTATGGAAGATGTTATAGTGCTTATAGAAACTATCTGCAGATTAGGAGCTTCAAATGGTACTGGTAGCACTAGCAAGTTGGAAGGGACATTTGTGCCTAATAGTTCACGTGCTCGCCTGTCTCCCAGAAATGAATTGGATAGGTCCTGTCTTCCCAGAGATCTTACCGCTGGACCAAATAAGGAAAGAATTCTCACAAAAGGGATCTATAAGTACGTCTATCCTAGTAGTGTGATGCATTACATAATTACGTACTTTCGTTGTCTTATCTGCTATGATGCTTGTCAACTTGGCATTTTCCATCTTTCATTTGATGCAGTCATTTGGTTCTGAACTTATATCTTTCTGCCTTTTGGTGAAATCGATTTGTATTCCCAGGTTAAATACTCGTGATGACAATTTACCCGTGCTGCATCGCGCGGGTACACCACTAGTTTAAATAATAGACTTGGGAACATAAAGAAGAAAAGGTTAATGTGATATAGCATGAACTCACGATCTTCACATATAGTTCACAAGCAACAACCCCATAATGGAAATTGAGAACTTGTAAGTCACCTATAGGCAGTCCATCAGCCCATCTTCCCCTCAGAACCTGGAGCTTATCCGGTTGGATCATTAGGATCCAAATGGGTAGTGATTGATAAGATGTACTAGTGATAGCCTGCAATACAATCTGTCTTTATCTTTATTATTTTTTCTTCAGGGTGGTATGGTACCATAGTCGTACCAGATTTCCAGTCGATCATGTCAGTTATTAACACTATATACTACATACATTTGACAAATTTCACATTTCTTATTCCAAAAGAAAATCAATAGTTGTTGTTACATTGTATTCTTATTTGACAACTATATACTAAAACGACTCAAAACCAGTTGAATTATACAAACAAAGAGAGACGAAGACAAACAAACATACGTACATACAGGAACAACGAAGGGATTCAACAATACTGAAACCATAAACAGGAGGTATGTTGGAGAAAGAAAAACCTTTGTAACCTTGTATGCGTAGTAAGCAATCCACGTATGATAAAACCCCGGTATTAACAGCATATCCCCTAAAATCACAAAAAAATAGCCCTGAATCATTTACAAAAAATTGGTAATATCAGATTTCTAGAGTTTTAGTAGCGGGAGAAGACGAAACAAATAATTACCGTGACCAGTGTCACCGCCTACGCGATTGATGGACATGAAGATGCAGAGACGACGCCGACGATGCCGAATATGAGGAGGGCGATGGCAAGACCGATCTCTTTGACTGGAGGGCGGTTGTGTTGGGAGTAAGAAGAATCGGAGTCCGTCATGGTGTCTTCATTTGATATGGAAAATGCGTGATCAACATGCGCCATGGGATTGGATTGGAATGGAATTGTTCTTCTGCGATCTTCTTCTTCTTGGAGGTTGGGAGAAGATATCAATGGAGGTTGATTGAAGTGCAGCTTCGAGTACAAATCTATGCGTACAAGAGAGACTTGTCACAGAGAGAGAGAGAGAGAGGCGCGTAGAGTCCGAGTTTGGTAGCAGATTTACGTGAGTCAAAGGTTGTGTATTTTAAGCTTGTGTTTGGATTCCTTATTTGAAATGAAACAATTCTTATTAATTTATCATAAGTTAGAATCTTTTAATTTTTTTAAAAACTCTTTGTTACTAGTTTGGTATCGGTATAAACTGTTTATCCAACTACTCAAAAATGTATATTATCGATGTCATACCGGAATAAGTCAATAAGTTGTTTTTATAAGTAATCCCAAACACCCCCTAATTCAAACTCTAATGGGAAAGCGGAAACAATTAATTATTTTATTTTCTAATATAAACCGGTGTTTGTTGCGCAATGACAAAAATGTGTTGCTAGAAAATGTATAATTACTTTGAGATGAAACGTAAGCTGTTAATTCGTTGACAACTAATAAGATACATCATGAACAAAGGTTGATCCCGTTGATTCTATGAACACTTCCCCAGAACGTGTTCCTCGTTACAAGCTTCGAATCGATATATTATGAACCTAAAATAGAGTCTCACAACAAAAGTTATGCACATTTAAGTGTGACACCCTTTGTTAGCCTAGTCATGGACCTCCCTAAAGAATAGGGCATGGCCCTCCACACCATGGCCCGCATCAGTAATACTCCTATGTTGAAATTAAAGTTGTACAAAAATGGTGAGTTGCAAATGTAACACCTCCATTCCGAAGGAAGGGAGGTTACTTCAAAATGTAACGGAGCGCTATATAAAACCTCCAAAATATAGTCTCCAATACAAAATAAAATCTTCCAATAACGAAATTGAATATAACTCCAAATAAGATATAAAGGTCTCCAAACAAACTATTTCCAAAATGCTCCAACAACCGAGGAAAATAAAAAAAACAACCAAAGAAATCTAATCTAATAGCTAGAAAGGAACAAAATCTAATAAATGAATTAACATAACATTAAACCTCTTGAAATCCTTGGAACCAAGATTCTGATATACTCTCTTTCACAAAACCTATCCGTCCCTTGATTACCTGCCGTGAGGAAATTAAAAAAAAAAAACACGGCTGAGCCAAATGCCCAGTGAACAGATAAGCAAATATAGAAAAATGGTAATACAAACATGCCAAAATCGAACCAAACAAGTACCAAAATCTTAGAAAATCAACAAATAACATAATCATACGAAATCATATGAAGGGACAAATCGAGCTCGAAAACGCATACACTTGCATATTAACTAACATGACAAGTGTCAGACATATGGCCACACAGGCCTGTACG